TGCCTGGAGAGATTATCAGTTATTTTTTGTCTGTCTTAGAAAACCTTCTGCCTGGGCATTCCATCTTTTTAGCAAACCTGGTATTCATTATCCACGCTTGTTGGTGTTCTGTAGTACAATTCTGAGGTTGCCCTGGGGCCATCCCTCTGAACATAGACTTGCCCTGTGACATAGAAATCCAGGCAACTGGCCATATCTTTCATTGGTAGTGGGTGAGGAGAAAGGAGCAGAGCTTGAAGTGAAGCAGGAAATTGTACAACATGAACATTTCAGGTTCACTGACATTGACATCATGCCTAACGTGCCTAGGTACTGCAAGATGAGATAGTCAGCAAACCATTTTCAAATTTTGCCAGACCTCTTCGTCATGTTTGATTCCTAAATATGCTTTTGGCTTATTATCTGTAGTATAATTTTATAGTCATAGAGTTTATAAAGTAAAATGTACTAACCCAAAAGCTAGAAGACGACAAGAAATAAGATCAGAGAAGAATTAAAGGAGATAAGAGACATGAAAAACTCTCCAAAAAAAAAAAAAAGAATCAATGAATCCAGGAGCTGGTTTTTTGAAAAAATTAACAAAATAGACTGCTAGCTAGACTTATAAAGAAGTAAAGAGAGAGGAATCAAAGAGATACAATAAAAAATGAAAAAGGGGATATGACCACTGACCCCACAGAAATACAAACTAGCATCAGAGAATACTATAAACACCTCTACACAAATAAACTAGAAAAGCTAGGAGAAATGGATAAATTCCTGGACACATACACCCTCCTAAGACTAAGCCAGGAAGAAGTTGAATCCCTGAAGAGACAAATAACAAGTTCTGAAATCGAGGCAATAATTAATAACCTACCAACCAAGAAAACCCCAGGACCAGATGGAGTCACAGCTGAATTCTACCAGAGGTATAAAGAGGAGCTGGTATTATTCCTTCTGAAACTACTCCAAACAATTGAAAAGGAGGGACTTCTAACTCATTTTATGAAGCCAGCATCATCCTGATACCAAAACCAGGAAGAGACACAACTAAAAAAGAAAACTTCAGGGCAATATTCCTGATGAACATTGATGCAAAAATTCTCAATAAAATACTGGCAAACCAAATCCAGCAGCACATCAAAAAATTTGTCCATCTCAATCAAGTTGGCTTCATCCCTAGGATGCAAGCCTGGTTCAACATATGCAAATCAATAAACGTAATCTATCACATAAACAGAACCAATGACAAAAATCACGTGATTATCTCAACAGATGCAGAAAAGGCCTTTGATAAAATTCAACATCTGTTGATGTTAAAAATTCTCAATAAACTAAGTATTGATGGAATACATCTCAAAATAATAAGAGGTATTTATGACAAACCCACAGCCAATATCATATTGAATGGGCAAAAGGTGGAATCATTCCTCTTGAAAACCAGTACAAGACATGGATGCCCTCTCTCACCACTCCTATTCAACATAATATTGGAAGTTCTGGCCAGGGCAGTCAGGTAAGAGAAAGAGATAAAAGGTATTCAAATAGGAGGAGAGGAAGTCAAATTGTTTCTGTTTTTAGATGTTATGACTGTATATTTAGAAAATCCCATTATCTGAGTCCACAAACTTCTAAAAGTGATAAGCAACTTCAGCAAAGTCTCAGGATACAAAACCAATGTGCAAAAATCACAAGCATCCCTTTATATCAACAATAGACAAGCAGAGTCAAAACATGAATGAACTCTCATTCACAATCACTATAGAGAGAATAAAATACTTGAGAATATAGCTAACAAGGGATGTGAAGGACCTCTTCAAGGAGAACTACAAACCACTGCTCAAGAAAATAAGAGGAACAAATAAATGGAAAAAATTACATCCTCATGGATATAGGAAGAATCAATATCCTGAAAATGGCCATATTGCCTAAAGTAATTTATAGATTCAATGCTATTCCCATCAAACTATCACTGACACTCTTCACAGAATTAGAAAAAATTATTTTAAATGTCATACAAAATCAAAGAAGACCCCGTATAGCGAAGACAATCCTAAGCAAAAAGAACAAAACTGGAGGCATCACATTACCTGACTATACTCCAAGGCTGCAGTAACCAAGGCAGCATGGTATTGGTATCAAAACAGACATATATACTAATGGAGCAGAACAGAGACCTCAGAAATAATGCCACATATCTTACAACCATCTGATCTTTGACAAACCTGACAAAAAACAAGCAATGTGGAAAGCATCTCCTATTCAGTAAATGGTGCTGGGAAAACTAGCTAGGCGTTCGCAGAAAACAGGACCCCTTCCTTACACCTTATACAAAAATTAACTGAAGATGGATTAAAGATTTAAATGTAAAACCCAAAACCATAACAACCCTGTAAGAAAACCTAGGCAATACCATTCAGGACACAGGCATGGGCAAAGACTTCGTGACAAAAATGCCAAAAGCAATTGCAACAAAAGCCAAAGCTGACAAATGGGATCTAATTAAAGAGCTCTGTAAAGCAAAAGAAACTATCATCAGAGTGAAATGGCAACCTACAGAATGTGAGAAAATTTTTGCAATCTACCCATCTGACAAAGGTCTAATATCCAGAATTTACAAGGAGCTTAAACAAATTTACAAGGAAAAAACAACTCCATCCAAAAGTGGGCAAAGGATAAGAACAGACACGTCTCAAGACATTTATATGGCCAACATATGAAAAAAAGCTCAACATCCCCAATCATCAGAGAAATGCAAATCAAAATCACAGTGAGATACCATCTCACACCAGTAAGAATGGTGTTTATTAAAAAGTCAGGAAACAACAGATGCTGGCAAGGCTGTGGAGAATAGGAATGCTTTTATACTGCTGGTGGAAATGTAAATTAATTCAACCATTCTGGAAGATAGTAAGGTGATGCCTCAAGGATCTAGAGGCAAAAGTACCATTTGACCCAGCAATCCCATTACTGGGTATATGCCCAAAGGAATATAAATCATTCTACTACAAAGACAAATGCACACGTATGTTTATTGTAGCACTATTTACAACAGCAAAGTCATGGAACCAACCCAAATGACAATCGATGACAGACTGGATAAAGAAAATGTGGCACATATATACCATGGGATACTACACAGCCATAAGAAGGAATGAGAGAGATCATGTCCTTTGCAAGGACATGGTCATGAAGCTGGAAGCCATCATCCTCAGCAAAGTAACACAGGAACAGAAAACCAAACCACGCATGTTCTCATTCATAAGTGGGAACTGAATAATGAGAAAATATGAACACGGAGAGGAGGACAACACTTACCAGCACCTGTTGAGGGGTGGGGAGTGAGCGGAGAAAACTTAAGAGGATAGATCAATAGGTGCAGCAAACCACACGGCACACCTATACCGATTTAACAAACCTGCACATTCTGCACATGTATCCCATATTTGTTTTTTTTTTTTTAAGAAGAAGAAATTTTTTAAAAAATCATAAAGAACAGTAAAAAGTACATGGGGCTTTCTGTAACTTTCATTAACCATTTTTTTCTTTAGTTTTCCCTTAAGAATCTAGCAAAGGAATACCTGAAGAAAGCTTTCACAAACTGCTATAGGCTCCTCTGCGTAACACATGGTAAAAGAAGTGTCATGAAGTTCAGGCTATCTGGTACCATCCCATGATCTTCATTTGAGTAACCAACCCATCATCTTCATTTGTGTAACCATGCTGGTTCAATGGTACCAGTGCTTCACTGCTAAAACAAGATAGCTAAGCATGACCAGTGTAATGGCTGAGTATTGCTGGGCTTTTCTCAGCAGCCCTGGCAACTTGAGACTTAAGACTCAGTGTCAGTGAGGTTTCAGAGAGCTCCCAAATAAGAACTTGCCTTTTGTGCAGTGTCTCCATCCATGGCTAAAGAGCCTCCAGATCAACCACTGTTATTTCTATAAGCATAGGCAATCTAGTCCTTAGAAAGACCTGCAGCTGGGTTTTACAATAAGATGGCTATTAGGGAGGAAGATTTTTGGAGCTGAGTGGGACATTCTTACTGGTGTATCTGAACACGTGTCTGGTCACAAATGGAGACTAGACTTGGTGCTCTCTGTGCCCCTTGCTCTCTTTGTCTCATGTTCACATAAAACATTGCTTAAAAACAAAGTCAAGCTAGGCCTCAGGGAGATATGTTGCTGGGGTGCTGTCTAGTCCTCCCACTATATCATATTCCTAGCATCCTTACAGGAACATCCTACAAGCCCCACCAGACTATCAAATTGAAGCTACCAAGAGTCCTCTCATGTGACTTCATACACTGATCACCCAGCACGGCTCTGATGATATAAGCTGTCACTTATTTGCAAGTGAACTAACTGAATGTCAAGATCAGTTGTTTGTGGTCTTGCCATCTGATGTCAGACTTAGCTCACAGGAGCTACTCATTGAAATCATTTAGGAAGCCAAATAAGATGTATAGCAAGTCAAAACCCCCACCAGGAGGAAGGGAAGACATGACCCATTTTCTGCAAACCTTTGCTTTAGTTTGGTATTCTTCTTTGAGAGTCTTCAATCAGGATTACAACTGGCTTGAATCCTGCTCATTTTAGTATAAGTGTATAACTTGCTATGTGATACTGTATAGTGTGGACAGCAAGACAAAAGGGCATATTTCCAATCTTCTCTACAAAAGAGGAACTAGCCAGAACCAGCTGCCAAAATTGCTGAAATAGCCAGTGACAGTCATCCCACAGCTACCAAGCAGTGCCTGAGATCATCATGTTCTCCTCTATTTTCTTCTCTCTGCCCTGCTTTGTTTTCCTTGTGCCTAAATCTTAGACCTAGCCATCTAGAAAACTTGCTCAGTTCCACTGGCTACAACTTCAGAATAAAAGAAAATGACAATCCCTACTAATCTAAAGCATTATTTTCATGACTTATTCTAGAATCCCAGAACAAGGCTCACGTTCAGAGCAGGTTGTGTTAACAAGCACAAAATTGTACATAATAAATGTACACAATGAACTTACCATTGACATTAATCAATGAGAGAATATTGTCCTGGTGATCAAGGAGGCGCTTAACTTCAAGAATATCCCATTCTAGTGATACTTCTGTGGGTGCCACCAACCTGAAAATTACTTAACAAAAAAGACAGATGTAATTTTATTACAGTGCTCAAAGAGGATAAAATACTACTCCTGCTTTAAAGCAAGTATTTCATTAAGTGAAAAATACCTACCATACTGAAAAACCCATCTCCAAAAAAAAAAGTCTTATTCATACTACTTTAAACTGTTTCTTTTAAATGCTTGAGATTTTCTACTAAAACCATACTGAATGTATCCTGAGAACCCTCTTCCTCTATTGACTTTTCCAAACACTGAAGCTTCCATTCTCTCTAGGATTTCAATGCATGTCTGGCTATCTCAGCTTACTCCCTCCCTAGCCAGTGACTAGCCCACATGCCTGAATCACCTCCACATCAGCTTTCTCTACTCATGTCCCCACGCCAGTAAGCACTGCTACAGAATAAGCTGCAAATCAAAGCTTAACTTCAACTCAGTGAAGACATCAGTAGCTTCTTTTTAAAAAAGTTTTTGATTCCTAGGCATATACCATTAAATTATAAATTCTCTGAGTATGTCTTATAATTTTTATACATCATAGTTCTTCTGACTATAGTAATGTTCAATGTGTTGCTTTACTCATTATCTGACTTTAACAAATAGTTTTAAAGCAGTATAAATCCTAACTTTAATCAATACAGAAAACCCATAATAAAATCCACTGATGTGATTCAATTGACAACATTTTCTAAACATTTATCTTCTGGGAACTCTAGATACCAAATGTGAATAAGGCCCAGTCACAAATGCTCAGTCTAGAGTGAGAGTGGGACTTGTTTATAAACAGGCTTAACATCAATATACTGAGTGCTTTAATATACCACTGAACCAACTGCTGTGGATATTCAAAGATTGGGATGACTAACATCTGAGAAGTGAAAAGTCTCAAAGATCATGTCCTTTTCAAATTACTAAAGTATCTCTTCTTTCTCATATTTCTCTCTGGAAGATAGGTCATGCCATGCTTCTTTTTGTGTCTCTGACAGTATTTTACCAAACCACAAACCTCTAACAAGGTTATTTAATCCTGACAGCCACTCATGTTCAAACTGGTTGTCAAAAGAAGGTTTTTCAGTCAATGGAAAAGAGAACTATCTGATATTATCAGTGTTGTGGGAAATTCTACCTTAATTGGAATACTACCAAGTGATCTTGAAATTGGAATTTTGGAATAACAAGCAATATACTGTTTAACCAAGCTAACATACTGATTAAAATACTGATGAGAAAAAGAAACTTCAACAATCTCTGTATCACTTCAACAATGCCAAGAAGCCAAGACTGGGGTACATGCAGGTGTCCCTTAAAGAAAAAACTAATCAGTCCTTCCAGCATGCGTATACAATTCTAGTTCAAATATATATAAAAAGAAAAAATTCATACTCACTCAGTTCTTTGCCAGCTGCTGCCACAACACAGTTCTTAGGTATTTCAACCAAAGCACTAATACCTCCAAAAACATACAAAACAAAGGTCAAATTATTTCTTTTTACATTATTTCAAAAAAAAAAAATTCTCAGTTTTATGTCAGTCGTTTTCCATAAAGAAGATAAAGCACACAGAACTGGCTCCACACATACTTCCTTACTTGCTTACTTATAAAAATGATTTTGTTAAATGTAAGTTTCTTAGACTTTGGAAGACATTACTGATTTATTAAGAGCAGAAAAGGGTTTTTTTTTTTTTTAACTATTGTGGTAGAGTGGTAGATTCAGCTATTCAAACTTATTTACCAGGGATCTCTTAAGATAATCACCATCACCCATTTACAAGATGGCTAGCTGAAAAGGGATGTAAAATTGGGGTTTTCCCTCATATACATTTAAGAACCCTGAGCAGGCTCCCTGCCACTGAATCAACTAGCTAACAGTTAGCAGCTAAGAAAGCGGCCTTCAAATAGCATATCTGTAATCCACTAATACATGTACCAATTTTCTTCTATTATTGAAATACTCAGATTCAACATTCTAACACATTTCACTTATTTAGATAAAGAGGTCTGAGTATCTTTTCATAGCCAAATCATATTTTAAGGTAACTATATTTTAGGGTAACTATAACTTCTATAAGGTATGTTACCATTTTACTTCTGTTGGCATGAATGAAAGAGTTGATATATTAGAACCACCACGTGTTGGCAAAAAAAAAAAAAACAACTGTTTAATTTTTCCATTGTGATATATATGTAATTTATATATATGCAAGTGTGGAAAATGGTCTACTCATTTGCTTATCTTTCCCATCCATCAAAGTACTAACTGTTGTGATTTTGAATAGTATTTCTGGCCAATACAAAACCTACTTTTGTACTGGCCAGAAATACTATTCAAAATCACAACAGTTATTTTCCCATATACAAGGAGGAGGAAACAGTGCTGCAATGAAGGTGAAAGAATAGTACAGAGAAGGCAGAGGAGATGGGAGAGCAGCAAGGTGGGTAGCAAGAGAATTCTAAATGTAGCAAACAGCGTGTTTAAAATCTTTCACTAAATTATTTTGAAAATACTAGAAGCCCAACAATCCAGAAGTAGCAATCTAATATTCAGCATCACAGAACATACAGCTGGAAAGGACATGGGTGCCCTGCCATCCAGTCCAGGGCTCCTTCCATTGTTTCACATTGACTGAGATTATCTTTGCTTATTTCCAAACACAGAATAACAGCGTGTAGAAGCTCTACCAGCCCATAAATCAAGCAGGGCTTATGAAAGGACATAATGACATAAGGGTCTAATAACACTATTAATGATCTGGCCTCTAGTAATTTGGAAAACCCAAATGACCAATAGCTCACCAATGGTAACCCATGGTCTTTTTAAGGCTTTCCCATAGATTCCCTCAAAGCCTTCTGTTAACTCTTGAGACACTGATAAACAGCAATACTGTGATTACTTAATGTATAGACTCAAAGAAAACTTGCAAAAGAAAGGGAGACTGCAATAAGAGGTGGCTATTTCCAGGAACACACCGAAGATGTTTTTCAGCCCCAATTTCAACATTCTACAATATAACTTTATTAAAATAAAATTTACAAACACCACTGGCTAATAAAAGAGAGAGGAAAATGAACATAAAATTATATACTTCATGATAATAGTAAACAGGGAAATGTATTCCAGATTCGAGCAAGACTGTTAGTAATCAAATGCTGAACTGAGTGGTTAAATGTAAACCTTAGCAATGTATGGATTTAGTTTTCCTAAGTCATTATTTTTCTGATGCTTTATCATAACTATATGGAGCTCAGCTAGCTCTTATTAACTAAATTAAACTCTCAGGGCTCCTGCTACCACTGAAATGTCAACAATATGCACAATAATGTTCCTTCTAGGAGACCCATAGGCCCATTTGACTACTTTTAGAAATAACAATAGTTAATAGTGTAACTTCAAGGTTGTTATGAAAACTTATTTATATTTCAATATTTTTACTCTAAAAATGGAATTTATTTTTTAAGATCCTTGGTATAAAAATTTAAACTGATTTATTTTTTTCCTGTTGAAACCAAAAGCGTATGTACACAGAATTCTGAGAAAATGAAACCTTATCAGTAAGCTTGCACATGTATAAACTTTTTGGTAAGGACAATTATAAAAAGAGGTAATCCTTAGGAATCTATTCAAAGTTAATGACCCCACTAAAAAAGAGAAAACTGCTAAGGTAAAGTTGTAAGAGTCTGCTTCCAGGTATCAGCATGCTCACCAAACATAGTTCACCAAAAATAGCCCAAGAGCATTGGAAAAAAGGTAGTTCTTGAACAATTCTGTTAGAAGAGAAGGGGAAGCCAAAAGGAGTGGAGTCTTCTCCTCCTTATTCAGGATAAAAATGTATTTTATACAACCCCTCATCTGAATTGAATATGGCTACCTGTTATCTTCAAAACTGAAAAGAAAAATTGCCTATATTGACCTTTCTACTTAGGGCCAGTCTCTCTGAAGATCTGCTGTGTCTTCTAGTGTCTGTCAATCATAGTTTAAAATTACCTTGATTTGTTTTTTACCTGTATCAGAAAGGTAGCTAGTCTTACACAGGAGATCTAATTTTCGGTTCCACACACATAGGTCATTCCCACCAGAAAGCCAAACATCTAGTCTCTGAAGAACAGTCAAACACTGCAAAATGTATTTGAAATGTATATCAGGTTAGAAATTCAAGCAGTCATTGTTCAGTGGTTTTAAAATACGTCCACAAGTTCTTTAACCCCTTCCTTCAATAGGTGGAGCTTATTTTTCCTTAGCAGAGCATGTGGGCACTACTAAGTGACTAGCTTCTACCAAACAGAATGTGGCAGGAGGAATGGTGTGTGACTTACAAGACCAACTCATAAAAGACACTGTGGCCCCCTCCTTGTTTTCTCTTGGATTACATGCTCTAAGGTGAAGATACTCAAGTGATCACACGAAGAAATGTCCACGTAGCAAGGAGCTAAAGCCTCTGGGCAACTACCAGCAATAACTTGCCAAGCATGAAGGTTAGCCTCCTGGGAGGCAGCTCCTCTACCGCAGTCAGGCCTACCGCATGACCCTTGGGAGAGGCCCTGAACCAGAACTACCCAGATAAGATGGCGTCTAGTCCGGATAACAAACACTGTGAGATGACAAATGTTTGTTGTTTTAAGCCACTAAGTTTTGAGATAATTTGTTACTCAGTAATAAATTACTAATACACAATTGCTTAAACTCTTTTAAATCAAACTGAAACTATGACCTCAGTTTCTCTGTATCTGTAGAATAAACAGCGCCTAAGTCTCCTCAATTCTATGCGTTTGGTAGACTCACGAAAGTGAGTGTTTCAAGTACCACATAAGCCCTTGACCTTTAATAGTACTCTCCTTGCCCACTGACTCTAAGTGAGAAAAAGAGCAAGAGCAAGAGAGAAGAGAAAATAAAAGGCAGAGAGTAACTTTGCCTAGGCTGAGCAGAGCTGCTTTTAAAACTCTTGGATTAAAAGAGTTGAAAATAACCAATACAGTGGCCCTACCCTGTCTAATCTCTGAATTTTTTATGCCAGTATTTCATTTCTTTTTACTGCCAAAGAGTATTCCACTGCGTGGGTATACATTGTGTTTACTCATCAGTTGATGGACATTTAGGTTGTTTCCCTTTTTGACTATTATGAATAATGTTGTTATGAACAATCATGTACACATTTTTATATGGACTAACACTTTCATATATCTTGGGGATATACCGAGAAGTGAGACTGCTAGGTCAAATGATAATTCTGTAAGTGCTTTCCAAGGTGGTTTTATCATTCTAGATCCCACCAGCAATGTATGAAGGTTACAACTGCTCCACATTCTTACCAACACTTGTCTTTTAGATATGAAGCCACTCTAGTATGTATGAAATAGTACTTTACTGCGGTTTTGACTTGCATTTCTCTAATGACTAATGATGTTGAAACTCCTTTTCCTGTGATTATTTGACATTTGTTTATCTTCTTTGGAAAAATTTTTCTTTCAAATCTTTTGTCTATTTTTACTTGGAGTATTTGCCTTTTTATTGTTGGATTCTTTATATATTGTGGACACAAGTCCCTTATCAGATATATGATTTGAAAATATTTTCTCCAATTCTGTGGGCTTTTGTACTTTTAAGCACAAAAACTTTTCATTTTGATGAGATCCAATTTATCTTTTTTTGTTGTTGTTGATATGCTTTTAATGTCTATTTAAGATACCTAGCTCAAGGTCACAAAGGTCTGCTCCTGTATTTTCCCTAGATTTCTGTAGTTTCAGCTCTTACATTTGGGTCTTTGATCCATTTTGAGTTAACTTTTGGATATGACAAGAGGTAGAGATAAAATTTCATTATTTTGTATGTGAATGTTCAATTGACACAGCATCATTTTTTGAAGAGACCATTCTTTCTCCCATTAGAGGTTCTTGGGATGCTTGTCAAAAAATCAATTGGCTACGTGAGACTTTATTTCTGGACCTTTAATTCTATTCAATTGATCTGCATGTCTATCATTATGCCAATGCACAGTCTTGACTACTGTAGCTTCATACTGAGTTCTGAAATTGGGAAGTGTGTCTTGGAACTTTGTTTTTTCATTTTAAGATTGTTTTGGCTATTCTGGGTCCCTTGCACTCCCAGATGAATTTTAGAATCGGTTTGTCAATTTCTCAAAAAAAAAAAGCTACAATTTTGATAAAGATTGGGTTCAATCTGTAGATTAATGTGGGTAGTGGTAGTATCATAACAACAGTAAATCTGATGCATACACTCAGGATATCTTTCCATTTATTTAGATCTTTAATCTTTCAACAGTGTTTTGTAGTTTGGGGTATATAAGTCTCATACTTCTTTAAATTTCTTCTAATAGTGATGGAGTATTACTGTGTTGGCCAGGTTGGTCTTGAACTCCTGGCCTCAAGCAATCCTCCCACGCTGGCCTCCCAAAGTGCTAGGATTATAGGCATAAGACATCATACCCAGACTAAATCTATTTCTGAGTATTTAATTCTTTTGGATGCTGCTGTAAATGGAATAACATAATTATTTCTTAATTTCATTTTTGGATGTTCATTGCTAGTGAATAGAAATACAGTTGATTTCTGTGTGTTGATATTATATCCTGAAGCCTTGCTAAATCCATTCATTAGCCTGAATAGTTTGGTTGTGGACTTACGATTTTCTATATACACAAGATCATGTCATTGGGGAACAGAGATAGTTTTATTTCTTCTTTTCCAATATGGACGTCATTTATTTTTTTATTGCCTAACTGCCCTAGCTGGAACCTCCAGTACAATGTTAAACAGATGTGCTGAGAGCAGACATCCTTATCTTGTGCCTGATCTTTGGCAGAAATTATTTGTCCTTCACCATTTGTTTTTCTTTTGGAGACAGGGTCTCAATCTATTGCCCAGGCAAGGGTGCAGTGGCACAACTGCAACTGCAGCCTCGAACTCCTGGACTCAAGGGAACCTTCCACCTCAGCCTCCCAAGTAATTGGCATTACAGGCACGTGCCACTAGGCCCGACTGATTTTTCTTTCCCTTTTTTTTTTATTGTACTTTCAATTCTGCAGTACATGTGCAGATCTTGCAGGATTGTTGCATAGGTACACATATGCCATGGTGGTTTGCTCTCTCCATACCCCCGTCACCTACATCAGGCATTTCTCCCAATGTTATCCCTAACATCCCCACCCCCCGCTGTCCTTCCCCAAGTCCCCCACCCCACCAACAGACCCCAGTGTGTGATATTCCTCTCCCTGTACCCATGTGTTCACATTGTTCAACACCTGCCTATGAGTGAGAACATGCATTGTTTGGTTTTCTGTTCTTGTGTCAGTTTGCTCAGAATGATGGTTTCCAGATTCATCCATGTACCTACAAAGGATATGAACTCATCCTTTTTTATGGTGCATAGTATTCCGTGGTGTATATGTGCCATATTTTCCTTGTCCAGTCTATCATGGATGGGCATTTGGGTTGGTTCCAAGTCTTTGCTATTGTAAACAGTGCCAAAATGAACATACATATGTATGTATCTTTATCATAGAACAATTTATAATCCTTTGGGTATATACCCAGTAATGGGATTGCTGGGTCAAATGGAATTTCTATTTCTAAACTGTTGAGAAATTACCACTGTCTTCCACGATGGTTGAACTAATTTACACTCCCACCAACAGTGTAAGTGTTCCTATTTCTCCACATCCTCTCCAGCATCTGTTGTCTCCAGATTTTTTAATGATCACCATTCTAACTGCCGTGAGATGGTATCTCAATGTAGTTTTGATTTGCATTTCTCTAATGATCAATGATGATGAGCATTTTTTCATATGTTTGGTGGCTGCATACATGTCTTCTTTTGAAAAGAGTCTGTTCTTATCTTTCACCTACTTTTGAATGGGCTTTTTTCTTGTAGATCTGCATTAGTTCTTTGTAGACTCTGGATAGTAGCCCTTTGTCAGATGGGTATATTGCAAAAATTTTTTCCCATTCTGTTGGTTGCCAGTTCACTCTAATGATAGTTTCTTTTGCTGTGCAGAAACTCTTAAGTGTAATTAGATCCCATTTGTCTATTTTGCCACTGTTTTTGGTATTTTAGTCATGAAGTCCTCGCCTATGACTATGTCCTGAATGGTTTTGTCTAGGTTTTCTTCTAGGGTTTTTATGGTGTTAGGTCTTATGTTTAGATCTTTAATCCATTTGGAGTAAATTTTAGTGTAAGGTGTAAGGAAGGGGTCCAGTTTCAGCTTTCTGCATATGGCTAGCCAGTTTTCCCAACACCATTTATTGAACAGGGAATCCTTTCCCTATTGCCTGTTTTTGTCAGGTTTGTCAAAGATCAGATAGTTGTAGATGTGTGGCGTTACTTCCAAGGCCTCTGTTCTGTTCCATTGTTCTATATCTCTGTTTTGGTACCAGTACCATGCTGTTTTGATTACCGTAGCCTTGTAGTATAGTTTGAAGTCAGGTAGCATGACAGCTCCAGCTTTGTTCTTTTTGCTCAGGATTGCCTTGGCTATGTGGGCTCTCTTGATTACATATGAAGTTTAAGGTGGTTTTTTTCCAGTTCTGTGAAAAGGGTCATAGGTATCTTGATGGGGATAGCACTGAATCTATAAATGACTTTGGGCAGTATGGCCATTTTCACAATATTGATTTTTCCTAACCATGAACATGGGATGCGCCTTGGGGTTGCTCTTCTTGAGGAATATCTTTGTGGCATTCTCTATATTTCCTGGACTTGAATATTGGCCTGCCTTGCTAAGTTGGGGAAGTTCTCCTGGATAATATTCCAGAGTGTTTTCCAGCTTGGATTCATTCTCCCAGTCACATTCAGGTACACTGATCAAGCATAGATTAGGTCTTTTCACATAATCCCATATTTCTTGGAGGCTTTGTTCATTTCTTTTCACTCTCTTTTTCTCTAATCTTGTCTTCTCATTTTATTTCATTGAGTTGATCTTTAATCTCTGATACCCTTTATTCCGCTTAATCTATTTGGCTATTGAAACTTGTGTAAACTTTGCGAAGTTCTCATGCTGTGTTTTTTAGTTCTATCAAATTGGTTATTTTCTTCTCTAAGCTGGTTTTTCTAGTTAGCATTTCATCTAACCTTTCTTCAAGGTTTTTAGTGTCTTTGCATTGGGTTAGAACATGCTCCTTTAGCTCACAGAAGTTTGTTACTACCCACTTTCTGAAGCCTGCTTCTGTCAATTCATTAAACTCATTCTCCATCATGTTTTGTTCCCTTGCTGGTGAGGAGTTGTGATCCCTTGGAGGAGGAGAGGCGTTCTGCTCTTTGATGGTTTTATTCTTTTTGTGCTGGTTTCTTCCCATCTTCGTGGATTTATCCACCTTTGATCTTTGAAGTTGGTGATTGTGGATGGGATCTCTGAGTGGACATCCTTTCTGTTGATGTTGAAGCTGTTTCTTTTGGTTTTTTAGTTTTCCTTCTAACAGTCTGGTCCCTCTGCTGTAGGACTGCTGGAGGTGCACTCCAGACCTTGCTTGCCTGGGAATCACCTGTGGGGTTTGCAGTATAGCAAGGATTGCTGCCTGATCTTTCCTCTGATAGCTTCGTCCCAGAAGGGTACCACCTGGTGTCAGTCAGAGCTCTCCTGTATGAGGGGTCTTTTGGTTATACAGGGGTCACGGAGTCACTTGAGGAGGCAATCTGTCCCTTGTCTGCCTGCAGAGGCACTCCTGGGCTGTCACAGACTCAGTCCAGCTGCTGTGTATGCTTCCTCTGGCTTTTGTTTACACAGGTAGGTTTAGATCCACTTCAGCAATGGCAGATGCCCGTCCCCCCACCAAGTTCAATCATCTCAAGTTGAGCTCGAACTGATGTGCTGGCTGGGAAACTCTCATGCGAGAGGGCTTCAGTTTGCTGGTCTTTGTGGGGGTGGGACCTGCCTAGACTTATTACCTGCTTTCAGGTCCCCCCTTTCTAGGGAGTGGGTAGCTCCGTCCTGCAGGCACTCTCAGTGCTAGCCAAAATGTCTGCCCAGATCTGTGCCAACAACCCACAGTGCCAGCTGGAGCTGCTCCTCAGATCCGTGCTGTTAATTTGGGGCACTTTTCAGCCTGGCAGGGATCTCCTGGTCTGTGGGTTGCAGAGCCCATGGGAGAAGTGCAGTATCTGAACCAGAGCGCTGGAGGGGGGAAGTTCCTGATCCTACAGTCAGTTGCACTTCCCAGGTGAGGCAGTGCCCCGCCCTGCCTGGGTTTGCCCTCCTTGGGCTACACTCACTGTCCAACCAGTCCAGTTGAAATGAACCTGGTACCTCAGTTGGAAATACGAAGCTCTCTTGCCTTTTGTGTCTCTTGCTGGGAACTGTGCTCTGGGGCTGTTCCTATTCAGCCATTTTGGCAAAATCCCCCCCCCCCGCTTTTTTTTTGGTAGAGAAAAAGTCTCACCATGTTGCTGAGGCTGGTCTCGAACCCCTGAGTTCAAGTGATCCACTCACCTTGGTCTCCCAAAGTGCTGGAATTGCAGGCATGAGACACCACACCCAGCCTAGCCTTTCACCATTAATATGAAATTAGCTATGAGATTTTCACAGATGCCCATTATTAGGCTGAGGAAATTCTCATCTATTCCTAATTTTTGAGTATTTTTATCACAACAGGGTGTTGTCGAGTTTGTCAAATGCTTTCTCTGTTTCTATTGCGACGATCCTGTGGTTTTTGTCCTTTATTCTTACTATGGTATATTTCATTGTCAGATTTTAAACTAAGCTCATATTCGAGGAATAAATCTGCTTGGTCATGGTATCTACTTCCTTTTTAGATGTCACTGGATTTGGTTTCATAATATTTTGTTGAGAGTAATATATGGTTTTGTTTCTTAACACTTTACCACTACTGTTTTCCTCTTTTAATCTTCTGAAATATAATTTTTAGTATATATATATATATATCTAACACAATTTATTTTCTTATAAGACATGTAGGGCACCTGCAATCATCCATTTATAAAAATGTATTTGTAGTACACATTTCTGTTCATAAATCTCTGCCCTATTTTCTGATTATTTCCTTTAAAGAATTTTCTAGAATGATCACTGGATTAATGCCTATAATAATTTCTTTAGATTCATTCATAATGCCAAACTACCTTCTGGGAAGATCATATCAGTTTATAGTCTCACTATACAATAAAATGCCAATTTTACTATCTCCTTGCTAACATCAACCCTTATACAAATTTTTGCTAGTTCAAAAAATAAATAATAGCATTTCTTATATTAGGGATATAAATGTCTTTGATAAACTATCTATTCAAGAACAACTTAACCACCAAACTAAATGAATGCAATGCTTTTTTTTTTTAAGCAATATTTGTGTGAAACAGAATTACAGCAGGAGAAAACAAATACAAATATGTAGCTGATTCACATTATAGTAAAACCCCTTTTAAAACTACTTTCAGTATACTGGAATAAGATACTTTTTATGTGACCAGTTCCCATATCCAGTTCATAACACAGTTTACCAAAGGAATTTCCCCCAAATACATTAAAATTTTTCTCCTCCTTTGCTCTTTCATGCTACATCTTTTCACTGAAACTTAATGACCTTAGTTTTTCAGACAGCAAGAATATTTTTAAAAGAATGTAAAAGGTGCATCATTTAAGTCACATAAAGTACAGAGATTTTAGTCAAATCAATACTTTATAATGACTTTATAAAAAAATCCATTGTTAAGTTAGATATAAGCATATATAGTATATGGCACTTTCTCCCCCTGAAACTTTACTAAGTTGATACTTCTAACAGCACAGTGCCATGAGATGGCTACTAATGGCACACAACAATTCTTTTTACATTAAGAAGAAAAGGAACAAAAGAGTTAGCTCCAATATAAAGATCAGTTATCCTTAAAGTAAATGAGGGAACATCTAATACTACTACTACCTTTTCTAAAACTTGGTTACATTACTAAAGAACAGTGGTACTTTCTCTAAACACTTAAGGTAATTTCTGTAGAAATCATAAGCAACCCAGTATTAACTATGTTTGTTTCTCTAAAATGCAGCAGAGTTCCTGTTATATAATAAGCCCCAATTAATATTTGTTTGTAAAATGAATAAACCTAACAGTAGCAGCAAATTAGCCATATAAGATTTTTAGTTTTGAAACTAAGTAACTGACATGTCTTACCTTTATGACCTTAGAGAAGGTGGAGGTCAAGGGACAAGTAACTGTATATTTTAAATTCAAAGTATAAAAAAAAAGACCAGCTACTATTATGGTCATTCTGCAAGTAACATTTCTTCCTAGAATTACCTATAAAAATGTACCAGGTACTACCTTTTTGCTTATCTTACCATAGGGATTATCCCTTGAATTATTCTAAATTCAAATGGAAACATTCTACCACTTAATATATATGCTCTCAAAAATCTGGTCTTAGAAGAATCAAATGACAACAGGTGTGTGAAAGAAATAACTTGTAAGACCCACAAAGTAATTTCTTCTAACTTTTTAAATCATGTCTTCTCAGACAAAAACAGATAGCCATATTTAAAATTTTACCTTTACAGTAGACTGGAAGCAAGATATTCTCTGAACTTGTCTGCCAGTATCACTGTCCCACACCTAAATTTATGTTAAGGAATAATTTCTAAACAGAATTTTAAAATCTTAATTATGAGATAACTTTTCTAATTAACACTTAAACCACAAAAATGTTAAGCAGTTAGAAAATCTTTAAATAAAACATAAAATAGTTAGTGTTTATACTACCACAAAAATGAATTCATATAGTGAGTCATCAACTTAACAGAGCAGGCTTATAATCGAAAATAAGTTTGAAGTAAATTTTACTATCAAATTATTTGAAAATGCCAACAGAATGAGTGGTCTGAAGTACTGAATCTTTACAAGCACCACATATTTCAACTGTTTAAAGTTTATTCTCCAGAATAGTCTACCATAATCTAATAAGCATGAACATAAAGTACTTATACCAAAAACTATCATGTCCATTAATATTTACTGAAAGCTCCCTATAATGTGGATAGAATGATTGACTACTGTTATCTTGATTTGAGAAGACATTAACAGTGTATTACTATTATCTGAATATGCATTTAATATAATCAGAGGGCCTCTCATAAAACATCCAAGTTTAGCTTGACTTTAGTAGCACAATGATTTTTAAACTTTTACACCATTTCCTGTAGTAAGAAATACATTTTACACCATGTCTGAAAACAAATTTACATACATATATATACTATGTATACAAATGTATATGCATGTATAAAATTGAACCTAATTTTACAAACTAGTTAACCTTATCATGTCCAATGCCTTTTGTTATATTTGTATTATACAGATGTGCCTGGACTTAGAGAAACAATAAACCCATTCTAAGTGAAAAATATTCTAAATTGAAATGCATTTAACACATTTATCAAACATTGTAGCTTAGCCTGGCCTAACTTATATGTGCTGAGAACACTTACATAAGCCTACAGTTGGACAAAAAAATAAGTCATCTGGCAACACAGTAAGTGTAGAGTAAGGCTGTCTACCCTTGAGATCTCATAGCTGACCAGGAGCTGTAGCTCCAGGCTGCTGCTGCACAGCACTGGGAAAGACGACTGTCCCATGTATCACTAGTGTGGGAAAATATCAAACTTCAACATTCAAAGTACAGTTTCCACTTAATGCAGCTCACTTTCACACCATCATAAAGTTAAAAAATTGTAAGTCAAACCACCCAGGGTGGAGACTATCTACATTCTATGTCACGTTTTAGATGGAGCTAGATCATCATGAGAATTGCATTTTATGGATATAATACACTAAAGAAAGTGCTAGCATATAAAAAGTGCTCCCAGTAATTAGAAAATGTTTTCTGGCCTTACATTTACCAGAATTCTAGTAGTATCTCACAGCCTTTTCACTTATTTCACTATTCGCAAGCTGAATGTTTAATATTCAGTAACTTGGGCTCTTAAGGCTTTAAAAAATTACTTACCTGACAGAACGCAGTGGTTCATGACTGTAATCCCAGCACTTTGGGAGGCCAAGGCAAGTAGATCATGAGGTTAAGAGATAGAGACCATCCTGGCCAACATGGTAAAACCCTGTCTCTCTACTAAAAATAAATAAATTAGCTAGGCGTGGTGGTGTACAGCTGTAGTCCTAGCTACTCAGAAGGCTGAGGCAGGAGAATCACTTGAACTCGGGAGGTGGAGGTTGCAGTGAGCCGAGATCGTGCCACTGCACTCCAACATGGTGACAGAGTAAGACTCAGTCTCAAAAAAAAAATTATCTACTTCAGCATTTAATTAAGAAAATTTTTTACAGGTTGAGTTTCCCTTATCCAAAATGCTTAAGACCAGATTGTTTCTGATTTTTTTTTTTGAATTTAGAATATGTACATATCATAATGAGCTATCTTGGGGATGGAACCCATGTTTAAACACAAAATTCATTTATTTTCATATATACCTTATATACATAACCTGAAAGTAGTTTTATACAGTATTTTTGGTAATTCTGTGCATTAAACAAAATTTTGACTGCAACCTGTCACATGATGTCAGGTAGAAAATCTTCGACTTGTGGCATCACATCAGTGCTTAAAAAGTTTTGGATTTTGGAGCATTTCAGATCTTGGATTTTCAGATTAGGGATGCTCAACCTGTAGTAAAAACCCAAACAGAGTAAACTTTGAACTCATCTGGGTAAAAGAGACTGCCAAATAAGCGGGCCAGAATTTTTTCTAACACCAAAAGTCATTCAGCAAAGGAAATGAGTCCATACTATCACTTACAGGTAAAATTCATAGTGACACTATCCCAGCTAACTGTACTAACTTCTGTACTACAATTTTAATCACTGCCTCAAAATATTGTTATAGTGTCTTAGTAGTGGTCTTATAAAAAGAAAGTATTTTAAATTCTATTTTTTGCAAAAATTACACTGATACTGAAAAAGAGTGTTAGTCCATAAAATATTTGACTCTATAGAGCAGTAGTAATAAAGCTTCTCTATAAATCTGAATGAATTTTATGCTGTATCATAATCACACAAATATAATACTTATATATGTTCATGTATATGTGTGTATGTATAAAAAGAGTTTATCCCTATTTAAACCTTTGCTTGACATTTTTTCAGCTATAAACCGTCTAGAAACCACTTCAGCTGATGAACTCATTTAAAGCATGTTAGAGTCTGTGTCTTGGTTCTGTAAGAGCCCAAGAAACATCTATACCTTTGGGCTTACTCCAAAACTTAATTTCACCAATGCTTGAAACTTTTTAAACATAACTTCCAGATAAGCATATACTTATGCTTATCTTGGCTAGGCACGGTAGCTTACGCCTGTAATCCCAGCACCTTGGGAGGCCAAGGACGGAAGATCACGAGGTCAGAAGTTCAAGGTCAGCCTGGCCAATAAGATGAAACCTCATCTCTACTAAAAACACACAAAAAAATTAGCCAGGTGTGGTGCCATATGCCTGTACTCCCAGCTATTTGAGAGTAGCTTGAACCCAGGAGGCAGAGGTTGTAGTGAGATCATACCACTGCACTCCAGCCTGGGTGACAGCAAGATTCCGTCTCAAAAAAAAAAAGAAAAGAAAAAAAGAAAGAAAAATTAATCTGACACCTTTAAAAAAAAAAAGTAATGAAAGACTATAGTTATCCATAGCACTTGACTCTGGACTTTACAAATGCACTTCCTCATACAGATATCAAAGAGCTAAGTCTGTTTACAGAAAACATTTTATGAAGGCAGTACTGTATAGTGATTGAGAGCTCTGACTCTGCATTCAGACTACTTGCCAGTTCTGCCCTACACTGGCTGTGTGCCTTGAGGAAGTTACTCAACCTCTCTGTGACTCTATTATTTCATCTGTAAATAAGAATAATTAAAAATACCTATGTCAAATGGCTAACTTTAAAGATGAAATGAGTTAATATATATAAAACAATTAGAACAATGCCTGTTACATATAGCACTTTACTACTGCTGTTCCATCTTAACTTTTTACCTCAAGTATGAGTAAAGAAAAAGTGGCTGGGCGCGGTGGCTCACGCCTGTAATCCCTGCACTTTGGGAGGCTGAGGTGGGTGGATCACAAGGTCAAGAGATCGAGACCATCCTGGTCAACATGATGAAACCTCGTCTCTACTAAAAATACAAAAAAATTGCTGGGCACGGTGGCGCGTGCCTGTAATCCCAGCTACTCAGGAGGCTGAGGCAGGAGAATTGCCTGAACCCAGGAGGCGGAGGTTGCAGTGAGCCGAGATCGCGCCATTGCACTCCAGCCTGGGTAACAAGAGCGAAACTCCGTCTCAAAAAAAAAAAAAAAAGAAAAAGTAATTTTACTTTTATAAAACTGTTTTTAACTATTAAATATTAAACAGTGAGCAAACAGTCACTTTTCTATCAGACTCAGATGCTCAAAAGATGTTTATGGGTTGGGACCATTTGGTTTCTTCTGCTGCATAGTGAGAAAAAGAAATATGAATTATTCTCCAGTTCTACTCATCGTTTCCCTAAATTGAAAAGCAAATTGAGATAATAAACTAAACATTTTTAAGTCCACATTCTCCCATTTCCTCAATTTATACAACCTGATGGAGTAACTCTGGAAAGAACAGCATTAGTCATGGAGTTTCCATCAGTCAGAAGCTTTAACATCCTATTTCCAGCCTAATACTTTTCAGATGCCTAATAAACGGTATCTTATAAAGAACAGAACAAAATCATTTTTGCTAAAACAAGAATATACAGACAAGACCCTATCAGCTAAAGACTATGTAGTGGCTCGTTGGGCCACTATAGCGTGTTCATTTCTTCCAGATTAAAGGATATAATAACTGTTCTATCAGCAGAGGCTGTCAAGATGAGTTGACGTTTTTCTTCACAAGATTCCAAGGAAGGAAATGTAATAATAGCCGTTATCTTTTGAGTGTGTCCATTCAGTTCTAGAAGTTTTTCCCCTGTCTGAAATACCATAAAAATGTTAATAGGCTTAGCTTTCACAATTTAGATAATCATAAATGACAACATTAAGTAGAACTGCCATATAGAAGATACATATACATTCCATTTAAAATTACTTTTTCAGAATTTACGTAACTTGGGCAATCACACAAAATGTAAACAAAAGCTGAAAGAATAACCATAAACAATTTTGATTATTTTCTAATACCATAATGCTAATTTTTAGTGTATTTTTATAAAAAAATGTTAAGGAGTATTCTTTTTTCTAAATTTCAAAAATATAATTGTGTAAATTAAGCATAAAAACATCAGTAACTTAATTTGTAGGGAAAAAATAGGGAGTCCTCATTGTCCAAGTATTTGTTATTTAAGTTTTCACAATTATAAGGTTGTAGAAGAAAATCAAAGTCAGCATAACTGTATACGTATCTACACACATACACACAAACACACACACAAACACACACACATACACACACACACAATCTCCACTAGTTTGTTAACCACTTAGAAATTTAGTCGCCACTCCATCTCTATTTAACACCAACATCTATTCCCATCCATCCAATGTCTTCATCCATCAGTCTCTCACTAATTTTCCAAGTAGTAAACATGCAAAAATACAATGTAAGTTGCAAATCTTTCGAAGATTGCAGGATTTCATGAATGTGGTGAAAATAATGTTAAAGAATTACTTTTATCACAGGCAAAGCCATTCAAAAATAAAGATCTGACAGAGTCAGACTAGATAACAATCCAAAATAAAGGCAAAAGGAAGATAAATACTTCAGAAAAGAATAATTTGAGTAACAAATGATCAGGAAGAGAGGCTCTGGAGAAACTTGGTGAAGCCTTAAGTATTTATTTTTTTTAAAAAAAGTCTTTTGTAATATTATTAAGTCAAACATGAGAAGAATGTTATATTATGCTATCATACAATGTTGAAAGAAAACTTGTGTGGATCACAAAAATCAACACAATTCATTTATTCATTTTGGATGAATTCATTTATTCATTTTTAAGCTATCAGGGCATAGCTACTGATAACCTAAATTTTGTTAAATAAGATTAAAATTTTGTATTTTTTAAATTTTCATAATTTGGCATTTGTTTCTTAGGAAAAAAACTTGTTTTTTTTTTAGACAGTCTCACTATGTCACCCAGGCTGGAGTGCAGTGGCATAATCTCAGCTCACTGCAACCTCCGCCTCCCAGGTTCAAGCAATCCTCGGGCCTTAGCTTCCTGAGTAACTGAGATTACAGGTATGTGCCACTATGCCCAGCTGATTTCTACTTTTAGTAGAGAGAAGGTCTTGCTGTCTTGGCCAAGCTGTTCTCAAACTCCTAGGCCCAAGTTATCCATTTGTCCTGATCTCCCAAAGTGCTGGGATTATAGGCATGAGCCACCACACCCAGCCAGAAAAAAAAATCTTAATTTATAAAAACTTTCCCTCTTCATTATGAAATACTGGTCCCCATTGTAAATGGATTTATTCTAAGTAGCTCTTTTTAAATATTAATCTGTCAATTAATAATAATGATACGCAAATATATCCCCGGATAGTATTTCTATGAATGCATACTCAACTATATCATATCTTTATTACACAATCAACACATAATCAATACACACCTGGGCATTCCACACAAATATAATTCCATCATCACCAGCAGATGCAAATCTAGTTAGGGAAAAAAAGAGTCAAGAAAAAAATCACTGGTGACATTTAATTACTAAGATTAAGAACCATCAAACCGTATTAGTGGTAATTTGACTTACTAATATTAATGAAGCTCAAGTTCTTTAAGCTAATTTTTAAAATATTTAGAAAACACATTCCAGGTTCTATACCAGGTATGGAAGATCAAAAGATAAATAAGACATTTACTGGGTTACAAATAATAACCTGCTAGCTATGTAAAAATAATCTTTAAAGTCCTTCTTTGCTTTAAAATTCTATGATTTTAAGAAATCCCTGGCTTAAAAGAAATGAAACCAAGCTGAGAAGTGGCTTCAGTGATAGAAAGTGATATTCCAGGGTGGAAGGGTTTATGATGTTAGATAAATTCATTCTTTCTATTATTCTCTCTGTAAATAACTATTGTTTAAAGTCAAGATCTCTCCTTTGCTCAGCTTAACTCCTTAAACTTTCCACACAAATGCTTTGTTCTTGGTTTGGAAGGTTTGAGGATTTTTAAGGGTTTTTTTGTTGTTTTTTAGTGAAGATGCTTGAAATGTGGAGGTAAAGTCTGTCTCTTGGCATGAAAAATGAGCTGTGATACTCTGCTATAGCTTCTCTCTCCTTTTTACAACCCATTCACCATATATACAGGGACAATTACCAAATTCTGTAGAGTAGAAGATATCCTTAACACAAACACTATCAAGAGGAATAACCCTCACACAGCATTATTCATCATCATATTATACTAAAATTCATCATCATCATATTATACTAATCCAACACAATAGAATACAATAATCACATTTTAAGCATGTGAAATAGTTTATTGTTGTCACACACAAGTTCATACATAATATTTAATGACTCAGAATCAGTTTAAAATTGTCCCCATAATATTGCTTTCACTCAAATTCAGGTGTTTTTATTTTCAGTAAGAGAGAAAGAAGTGCTGTTAAAGAGACCCAACTATGAATGACATATAACTGGTCCCTTATAATGAACAACAATTAAGAAATGATATTCCACTAATAGCTCTGGGCTATTAATATGCAAATATATTTAACAATCTGCTGTGAGTTTAACAAAATCTGAGTAGTCTTGATGTCTTAATTCAAGAAAACAGTGTTACATACATGTATCATTGGGGGAAAAGGAGAGAACTGATACATTGGACACAGAAATCACTTTGTTCCTAGGAGAGCATCTGTTCCAATGGATTTTACCCCTTTATGAGTAAGAAAATCCCATTATTTCAGTCATGCGATACTTTCCCTAACACTTCAAAATGAGCTTCATGTTCAAATTTCTTATCTTCAGTTTCAAAGTTCAGTGTCTCCACTGGCTCAGACAATTTCCATACTCAGTTTTTATTTCAAAACCCTTTGAGTACATCTACTTCTGGTAGAACTAAGAGTATTCAGGAGATATGAAATTGATCAAATACAGTCTGACAAAATCTTTTAATAATTCTTAAATATAGAGCTATATATCTTTAATGGAAAGGACCTTTTAAATGTAGGTAACTGGCTAAAAATCACGCAAAGAGTTTTTTTTTTAAATCCATGCTTATGATTTATTCTTATTTTTTAAAAATACAGATTAAAAAGAAAATGATCATTCTAAAAATAAAAATACATTTCCTATGCTTAATTATCTACATTTTCGCAATCATATTAGTAAACAGTACCTTAAATATCAAAAATAGCTGCTGGAAGTAAATCTTTAGCAGCTTATGTTTCTGGGACTATTGATTTCTTTTTTTGTGTGTAGTGATGGTGGGGAGGGCAGGACTCAAGATCTTAAGTGTTTTTCGTTATAACACATCAATTTCTATTGATTCTTTAAACTCATAATTGCTTTTCTGCCATTTAGAAGACTGCAAGTTTAAAATTTATACTTTCTTTCTAACCCTAACTTTTAACTTATTACTGTTTTATTATGTTTGACTTTCATGAGTTCATAATGAGAGACGACTGAGAACAGCTGAGAGTTTAGAAATGGGATATTCGGCATTTCACCTCACACTTTAATTCAATCAGTAGGGAACAAAAGTTAAATCTAAACAAGGCTCAATAGTAATGCATAAAATCTCAGCCAATTTTTTATCGCTCCAACATCAATTATGGAGTTGGTAGACTATTTAGGCCTTTTATTCCTATATATATTCTATTGCTACCTTTTTTTTTTTTTTTGCCATTTCAGTATTTATTACTACCTCCCCTAAAAAGGAAACATTAAGCTTTAAAATACAAACCAGTTTAACTTTGATACATATTAGTACCTGTCATTTAAAAAAACTAACAAAGGGTTGTGATATCATTCACAAATTACAATTATCCATCCTATTATGATGGATAACTAAAAAGTAGCTATACTCTATCAGTTTATCTTAAACTAAACCCTAGTCAGTCAAGCATACACTTCAACCATCTCCAAATCAGAAATGAAAATACAACCCAGGAATTTCTAATTGTAAGGCATAGTGTAGCTCCTGAAAAGTAATGAACTATAAAATTAAAAAAGGATTCAAATGTCAATAAGGTTTAAGCTACACTATCCAATGGAAGAAAAGTGATATTGCCAGATAGCATTTTACATACTATTTTTTAAAAACACTCTAAATTAACTGATAACAAAAACGTAAGCCTAAAGATAAGATTTTGAGAGAAACATTTCTTTACCGATTAGCAAAAAACGTATTTAGTGTGATTCCATGTTAGGAGTTAGGGATGTGTCAAGACGTGTTAATTGTGGTTCTTGCTTTGAGATCTTAAAACTTAATGATTGTTTAGAAATGTACTGCATTTCATCAAATTTAAGATATCAATTGTAAGACACTCTTATTTTATGTACCATTAAGGAAAACATACTGTCAGCTGCAACTGAAAGACACAATTACACGATGTGCCCAAATTTTAGAGATGTCAAAATAGAAAAAAATACGGTTCTTAGAATTATGAAGTATAAGAATTACCATATTTATTGATCTTTATCTTTATAACATGGTACTTGCCAGTCTAATGAATCTCTGACTATGTCTGGCAGATTTTAAGTGCTAAAGAAATGCTTGTTAAAGAACAGAAAACCAAACACCACATGTTCTCACTCATAAGTGGGAGTTGAACAATGAGAACACATGGACACAGGGAGGGAAACATCACACACTGGGGTGGGGGGCTAGGGGAAGGAGCAATAGGAGAAATACCTAATGTAGATGATGGGTTGATGAGTATAGCAAACCACCATGGCATGTGTATACCTATGTAACAAACCTGCACATTCTGCACATGTATCTCAGAACTTAAAGTATAATAATTTTTAAAAAAAGAGAAATACTTGTTGAATGAATGAATAAGCAAACAGTTAAGTGTTCACGGGCTCTGTGAACTATATTCATTAATGACAGTAATGTAACCCCACATTTTCCTTTTATCATAATTAATGTATCAATATATTACCATGGCAAAATTAGAAATTTGAAAAATTTAAAACCCAGGATCCCACCACACACAAAAATAAATTTCTATATTTTTTCATGTTCCTAATTCTTATCTATACACTTCATGTTTTTTTAAACTTAAAACCAAGTCTTTAAAACTACTCCTTGAGACTAGAGAATTAAATGACAAAGCACAAATTATATTCATGAAAAGCATGTTCAACAAGGTGAAACATGGTTTAACAAAGACCTATGGTAGACCTTCTAGAATGTTCCATCCTCTCATCCCTTAATTATGAGAACTAAATTTATTATGATAGTCCATAAGTCACTTGGTCATTCAAGAAATACTTACGAAGCACTAACTATATATATGCTTAAACCTGAGAATAAAGATCAAGAGATGGTTCTTGACCTTCAAGAACTCACAGTCCAACATTACTTACTAAGTGATGCTATAGGGTCTAGATCATGAGTCCTTAGAGAATTTACTTACAACCATCTTAATTTATAAAAATAATTCCCTCTAAACACCTTCTCTTTGAACATCTCTGAGAAAATGTTCTCTCATTCCTTCCAACGGTGGGCTGAAACTACAGCAAAGCTTAATAAAGATTTGTAAAAAATAAATTGTTTTCACAATTCTTATGTCCAATAGCTACAAACTCATTTAATAGTTCTTACTCGTGTGAAGTCATTTCAATTAAGTGAAGGTCCCTAAAATTCAAATATTACCTTAAAGGACATAAAAAAGTATAGCCTATAAACCTGAACCATAAATCTTCGTATATTCAATGTCTACATAACTACAAAGCACTGAAAAACTAAAAATATTAATAGGACATTATTATGGCAGTACAGGCACCCCGGTGGTTAATTAACTTTCCACCTAACCTACAAGTACTTTCTAATGCATGATAAAACTAAAATACTATGTAGTTTCCATGATCCTCTCATAATTTTTTTTTACAGTTGGACACAGTTAATAAGGTCTATGCAGCACAATGGTTTGATGTATCTCTTAAGTCTCCTTTATTCTATTGTTTTGTTCTCATCTATTTTTTCCTTGCAATCTTTTTGTTGAAAAAAGTTGTCTCTCTCGTAGAGTTCTCAGAGTCCAGATTTTGCTGACTACTTTGTGTTGTCATCTAACATGCACCTCTGTACCCTGCATTTTTAGTAAATTGATCACTAAATCTATAGACTTAATCAGATTCAAATCTGACTTTTTAGTAAGACCATTTCATAAGCAGTTTGTATACTCCATCAGGAAACAATTTCTGGCAGTCAGTTTTGTGTGTGTGATGTTAAAACCCATTGATAATCATTGCCTGAAGTCATTACTACATTTATTTACAATAAAATAACATTGAAAAATACAATGCTAGAAACCAGATAAAACTAAAAACAGCACAATTTTCATTTGAAGTATATGTTTATTTGTATGCTAGAACTACTTGAAGAAAATTAAAGAAGAATCCAGATAGAGACTTGTAAAGCAATTGAAGGAAACTTCAAAGCATTTTCAGGAGCCATAGATACTGATGGTACTAATTCC